AGGACGACTTTAACTCTTTCCTCCATAAAGGCGACGACCTCGGCGCGTGTCGATCCAGACGTTTATAAGCGTTCGGCAGGTAAAGGCTTAAAACTCTGACCTCCTCTGTTTCCTGTCCAGGTTTGAAGTACCTGCACTCGGCTGGGATCCTGCACAGAGACATCAAACCCGGAAACCTGCTGGTCAACAGCAACTGCCTGCTCAAGGTAACGCCGCACTCACCTATCAGAGGCCGCGAAGCCTGGTTACCGGGGTTACGAAGGCGGTTCGCTTGTTACCAAGTACATTGCCATGGTAACCTGTGCTGCTCTGCGCTACGGTCGAGATGCAAAATCAACACCTGCAAAACCACCGCGGTCGGTGCTGGCGGCTAAAACGTTGGAACGGTTTTCTGATGATCCAGGGGGTGGAGCCTATCACAGCTGTTTACGCGGGGGGCGGGGTCACAGATCCCCAGTCTGTGGCAGGCGGTTCCCGCTCATAAAATCACCAGTTAAAGCTGAAACTGCAGTGGAAAAGGGGCGGGGTTTAGCGACTGAACGAGGGCGTCTGTTTGAGCGTTTTAAGGACAACAATGAGGCGCTTTATTTAAAACACGATTGTTGTGGCAACAATTAACACGTAGAACAGATACTTTTCCGACCTGTACCAGGTGATGTTTGTTAGGCGCAATGAGACGCCACAGCTCAGAGACGGCGTTGCTCTCGGCGTTTGTAGCTACGCCAAGCACGCGCAGGAGGAGCCGATGAGTCTGAGGAAACGACTCGTTGGGCAGTCACTCCGATTTTAGTGGCGTTGAAACGTCTTTGCTGCGTTTGGGCCTGACGCCGCGCTGTGGGAGGGACAAAAGTCGCCGCCTTTCCAAAACACGAGGAAACCAATCAGCTGCTTGCTCGAGTGACTCGGAGCTGTTGACGTTTTTCCGTTTCGCTCAGATTTGTGACTTCGGCCTGGCGCGCGTGGAGGAGCCCGACCCGTCACGTCACATGACGCAGGAGGTGGTGACTCAGTACTACAGGGCGCCGGAGGTGCTGATGGGCTGCCGGCACTACAGCTCGGCCATCGACGTGTGGTCGGTGGGCTGCATCTTCGCCGAGCTGCTGGGGCGACGCATCCTCTTCCAGGCTCAGAGTCCCATTCAGCAGGTGAGACGCCGGGCGCCACGGCAACCGGCAACACATTCATTTAAAAACAAAAAGCTGCAGATGACAGGTTCAGAGTGCAGTCAGGTGACAGGGTTAGCTCCTCCTCCTGGTTGTTCAGAGGTGTGGCTAAGATGATGTTCAGGTATGTATGCGTAACTTTGACCTTTGAACTTCTGATGTACATCCACCTGTCAGCCCTAACTTCAGTTTATATGAACATGTTTCACCTGTGGACTCGGCTCAGAATCCGTGTTTGAGTCGTGCTGCGGAAAGTCGGATTAAAGATGGCGGCAGCTCTGAGGATCCAAATCCAAACCTTTGTTTGTCTCTGTGTCGCAGCTGGACCTGATCACCGACCTGCTGGGAACGCCGCCTCTGTCGGCCCTGGCAGCGGCCTGCGAGGGCGCCCGGGCCCACATCCTGAGGGGGCCGCACAAACCGGTACGTGACTGCGTGGTGTGCTCGTGAGCTGAGCAGCAGCACGCCGCTCTCTGCTCTGGAAGAAGGCCGCGCTGCTTTCTTTTATTACCCACGTGTGTTCACAGCCGCCGCCCACTCGGTCACCCCGCAGCTCCCGCTAACGCGTGGTGGTTGTGTAACGCTTACAGACACGCTACACATCCAAAATGTCTGCCAGGTGATGAGGTGGGTTTACTGGGAAATGTGGGAGAGTGAGGTTAAACCAGTGAGCAGCTGATGGAAGATCAGACGTGACCTGAAGTTCTGCTGCGTTGCAGCTGCACAGACTCACATTCACACAAACATCAGAAGTTTGAAACGTTTGTACCACAGACGATCACGAACACTTGAACCAGGAAGTCTGAAAGTTTTCTTCTTTTAAACTTGAGTTT